TTAATCCAGCCTCCTTCTCATGGTCAGTGGCAACCCATCTTTCTCCCTTTCCTTGAGTCTATCCAATAGCCACACATAGTTCCTACTCAGGAGGTTGGCTGTTTTGTTAATTTCTTACAGTTTGACGTGAAGTCCTCGTAACTCGCAAGACTTTGTGCTTTGGACCAGTCTTTTGAGTGTCCTGCATTGGCCATGTGTTCAGCGAGCTTAGATTTTTGGACCCACAGACCTTTACAAGCCGTTTTGTATAGAAGTTGTTTGACCTTGTTTTCACAATTTGGCCAGTTGTGGAACGCACCTTGTCCGAAATCCATGGTATGAAGTATAACTTTTATAGACAGACCGTCGACGTGGTACATTCCCAGACGTTTCACCAGCATCGTAGTCGACATCGTCAAGGAGCCTTGCAATTCTTAGAACCACACTACAACTCGTCAAAGAGACAAATGTATGCTAAACAGTTGTGGTATCTGTCCTTCTGTCCTGGGCTATTCACCTACCCTATATCCTCGTATCACCTCTTCAATATCACAATTTCTTACTTATTTATCTATACTTATTTGAAATCTATTCACACTCCCCGCTGGTTTTCTCATCTCTCCTACAGTGTCGGGAATGTTGATCCAAAGTTGCGGTTTAATCCGCAATCCTCTCCCTTCAGGTTTTTTCACAGTCCTCTCTTACTCCGTACGATCGTGCCCTTATTAGCCTGTTCCAGTGATTTCACTCCATCACTGCCCCCGTATGCGTGATGCTCAAGGCGTTATGTTCTACACTCTGCCTCAAGCCTTTGATAGCACGTATACACCAGCTTCACTGAGCAAGCCCCTCAAGTCTGGATTCTCAATTGGCATGGCCACCTAACTTGACGCTGTAGATTTCCTTATCGCTGTGCGGCATGTGCACCGAGCCCTTACTTCATGGACCACTTATTTGAGCAAATTGATCTATTAATAGCTAACTAGATATGGCTACCACCGTTTCTCTAGTTCTTCTATCCCTTATGCCAAGTGCCAAGTATATGACTTACTATTGAGTGCCAACCTCCAAATGTGATAGTTCTACTTAATTTAAATAAGCCCTCTGCATCCGGTGATTCAACCTAGAAAGTTATTTTCATGCACTTTTCCTTTAAATGAAAGACACCACAAAATTTATATCTCATTCTGATTTTGTCGAATTGCCAAACTCTTGCTTTCAAAATGTAAATAAAGCCCTCTAATCTTTAATCATGCTCGTGCACATATTACTTACATTATTACCTCTGATATAAGAATAGGACACCTCATTTCAATGTAAATGCATTGACCAATCAACCTGATTAACTAACTTCGTTTAAAAGAGAACAAGAGAACAAAGAGAGTTATATCAGTTTGAGACTCGAAAACCCAAATAGGCTTGTGAACCATAAGCGAATGCCTTCTTAGTGAATAGATGCACAAGCTAGTAAAGAAAGAATAACAAGATGTTAGTTTCTTACCATCCTGGTAATGAAGATCTGGTGATCTGATCATTTTTACCGGAACCGGTGACAATACTTCATTTTTCTCTACACGATCTGTGACTGGACCGGTCAAATCAATGAGCACTGCAGGTAACGTAGAAGACCTCATGAATGGTGATCTCCCTTCGTCTGTCCCAATATCTGCCCAGCCGTTATTGAGGCCGCTATGCGAAAAGACACGTCTCCCATGTAAATCCTCTTGGTTGGTTGCTGGCTTGGGTGGAATAATTGGACGTGGTGATCTTTCTCGGCCCGAATCAGTGTCACGTTCAAAAGGCTTAGGGAAGCCCGATCTTAGATCTGGACTGAATATGTCAGAGTCCTCCTCTGTATGCCATCTACGAGGGTTTTGGTTACCAGAAAGACGGCTTGAATCATAATCAAATTCAAAGGTCTTGCTGAAATGGTC